TCCTACCCTAGCTAGCTACAAGGGTCAAGATTTTCAAGAACATGAGAATACTGATGTGAAACATCAGTGCCTTGGGGTCACTCAGGCTTAGCTACAAGCAGAATTGGGGTTACTGAAGTCCATAAGTAAACTTCCCCAGCTGGATATTAATGATGCCTCTTACCCTCCAGTTCTCTTTTCTTCAAGGACACTGGAGCCCACAACCAATGTGGCCAACTCTTGCCTTTGTTGGAGAGAAGTAGTGGCACAGAGGCAAGTCTCATCTGCTCGTTTGGGGATTTTTCTCCATTGACTTATCTTTATCTTTTGGAAAGCAATGTCATATTCTGCCTGGCCCCCTCATGCATCCAGGGTAGCTGCTGTGAGCAAGAGTACCTCATTCCATGGCTTTACCTTTCCCTCTTCTAAAAGATGATCAGGAATTATCAATGCACGCAACTTGGTGTTCACAAATGTAGGCGCTGTCTTTGTGTCTGTCCTTAAGCCCTTCCAGAAGGAGCCGTCCACCACTGAACTGCAGCCAGCCCCTTCCTTAGGATAAACTCACATCTCACATTGCACTTCCCTCTCTGTTTGCTTTGTGTATTCTTAATGTTGGGAAGCGCCTCTTGTCTAGAAAGCATACTTGAAGCTCTACAAGAAAAAAGAGACTTTTCACTCCCAGTCTCAACATAGAAGGTTTTTTAAAATGGTGATCAAATGATTAATTAACACACAAAAATTGTTAAAAGGCAAAAGAAAGGGAAGAAAGAAGTCTAGCTTAAGATGGTAAAACGTGTGCGCATATTGTGGTTGTCTGAAATTGTTGTAGGGTGTCTCTGTGGGACAAGAGAAATAGGAAGAGGCTGAAATTGAATAGTTCAGCTTCACAGACCATGACAATTACTTGGATGCAAAGTCACTGGGAATATTATCCATTGTTTGCTCTATTAGAAATAATATTAATATAAATTAAAGTATATCAAAATTGGATGCTCACAAACTATTAATAAAAAATAATTAGTTCTTAGCAGAAAACAATTTTAATTTCTTCACAATGTTTCTTTGACTTGTGTTAGGTAACAAACACATTTCTTCCCTTCAGAGATAAAAACAGTTACGGTATTGAGCTTCCCTCTCTGGTTTCAAGGCAACCCAAACTCTATTCTGCCTGGCCATGCTTTTTGTTGTTACTATTTTTTTTCTTCCACATAAATTAATTTATTTTTAAGAAAAGTTGTATCTTTAGCTTTGTCTTCATTTTTTTGCTCATTGAATGTCTAATGATTTTTCTAAAACTTTAAGCTATGAGATGGAATCTGCTTATAATTGACAACATTTAACTACAAAAATTAAAAATGCAAAGCCTTTTATATGTTATAGGCTTCAGGATTATGTTCAGCTTTGACAGTGATTCACCTTCTTCAAACATTCCTACCATAGAAGTTAGGGTGGTTAAAAAACATAGTATTATGTGAAAATCACAAACATTTTGTTTATAATGTAATCTTCTAGGTTTTAACTTTGAAAACTTGTGGGGGGATGGTGGGCAGCTAGTCGGTGTTGATGTTGATAAATTCGCTTGAAACCCTAGGTGACTCAACTGGAAATAGGTACCTGAATCTTAATCATGGATTCACAGCTAGGGGCGGGGCTTGTCTGTTGTTAGGTTGAGTTAAAACCTCAGCGAGAATGAGAACTTCCATGGAAGTGTGTAGGGGGTAGTGTGATGGGCAGGGAGGCAAGAAGTAGATGCAGGAGGAGATGGCTGCCCGGGAGAGGCAACACAGAGCTGGGTAGGGTGAAGGGATGGGGGGGCACCGGATTTAATGATGAGGGGCTACTTCTCAGAGCCAAACGGAACAAACCCCGGGAGAGGGATGGCAGGGAAATGCTCATTGTCTGTATTGTCACTCACAGGCTCTGTGATGGTCATTTCTAGAAGGTAAGGTCATCTACCAAATTGCATGCCAAGTACCCACAATATTGTAAACACTTCATAAGCATGTTTGGTGACCTAAAATATGAAACAGATTTACCAGAGCATCCCCTCATCCCCACAAACCCCAAAGACCTCAGCTACCTACAGTACATTTTCATCCAGTCTCCTCATTTAGAGGAGCATAGGATATATAGAAATAGACATCAATAATGGAGACTTAACCTTAAACTGATATAAAGAAGTTGTTTTGAGCCATCTGACAACATGTGGTTACAATCTTAGAAAAAAACAAAAAACAAAAAAACAAACAAACAAACAAAAAAAAAAAAACCCAAAAATCTGAAAAACAAAAAACAAACAATGCTTAATCGAGAAATGAAATTTTATTGTTACTATTTTTTTAAGTAAAACTCCTCAAAAGCTTGTAATTTAGATTAAGAGAGTTATTGGTTTTTAGAATTGTCTCTCCTGGTTGTTTGTGGAGGGTGTGTAGTCATGAGAAGAATGATCCACACTGTAGGTAAATGGCTCTCCAAGAAGGCACATTTGCTGGTTGCTATGACAACTACTGGGTTTTATTGACTAAAGAGCCAAAAAAAAAAAAAAAAAAATCAATTAGAGACTATTGGAAGAATTTGCACAGGAGCATAAAATCCATCTGTCTCACAATTTGAGACTTTTCCACACATCTGTGCAGTGAATAGAGAGGGTGTGTGTGTGTGGGGGGGGTGCGCGTGCCCACGAGTGTGCTTCTGAAAGTATCTCCAGAAGCACTTTTATCATTCTAACATCTCTTCCATATCTAATCTTCTCAACAGCGGAGTTGTTTCTTGAAAATATATTTATTATTTATTTTAAGAATATGAATGCTCTATCTGCAATATACACCTGCACACCAGAAGAGGGCGTCGGATCGCACTATAGATGCTTGTGAGCCACCATGTGGTTGCTAGGTATTGTACTCAGGACTTCTGGAAAGGCAGCTGGTGCTCTTAACCACTGAACCATCTCTCCAGAGCCTCCTACCCCAGTTGTTTATTAGATTGTTAAACATAAAGCTATCACCTAGCCCTTTAGGACAATAACATTGAATTGTTCTTTATATTACTCTATTTTCCCTGGTGCCAAACAATTTTGAACTTTATTTATAAAGATACCCTGCTTCTTAGGAGCACTTCCTTCTCCTAGGCAGATGTCAAGCTAGATGATGGATACAGGGTAAGCAAATGGAGCCCGAGTAAACCACATGGGAATGTCCTCCTCTGCTCATGCCCACTCTTATCTTCCTGAGGTACTTGGAAAAGTCACTAAGTTTCTAAGACTCTCAAACACTGGGTAGCATGTGGAGAGGTCTACATGAAAGCTAATGAGCATTTGTAGTACGATTAAATATCAGACTAGTGATGTTTTCATAGCTGGTTGCAGGGAAGTCTCATGGATGGACTCCTGTGGTCATCCAGTGACAGCCTTCCGTGTAATGAGCTCATTGATCTCACAAGGAAATAACAAAGTTTAGAGCATGGACTCTGCTCAGCTATTGGGAGTTCCCGGCAGTAGACTGACACACAGGGTTTGGCTGTGCTTCCAGGGACCATGGTTCCAACAGCAAAGCTCAGATCATCCGTTACATGGTTGTGTTTTGGAATTTTACATTGCGACCCCTTACTGGGATCAAGTGTGAGCTGAGGCCGGAAGAGGCAAAGGGGATACAGAGTAGACTGAGAGCGTCATCTGGTGTCAAGGTGCTTTGTGACCTCTTGTTCATCTTCTCTCCATGTATGTGCACCCTGGGTTGCAGTACGAGCATTGTCCCTCAAGTCAATCCACTTGCTCATGCCAGGTTGTAACTTTCCTGCTCATCGTCCTCTCAGCTTAACCCCTCTGCTGTCTGCCCTCCTCACAGACCTTCACTCACAGAACCCCATCTGCTTTTACTGGCTTTGATTATTTCCCCTTGTCCAGGGATCCTTCAAAAAGGATCTCGCTATTTAGTAGCCCATCTTCTTGTCATCGGCTCTCATCAATTGCCTCTTCCAAGCAGAACTGCCCAGCCCCACCCACCCTCTCTGTAGGTGTCCTCTCTGCTGTTTGTCCCCTACCTCCTGAGCCACTCCTGCTCTCAATCACAACCTAGCAGCATTCTCCCTCTCCTTCCCTCTCTCTCTCTCTCTCTCTCCCTCTCTCTCCCTCTCTCTTCCTCTCCCTCTCCCCCCCCCCCCCCCCGTCCTCCCCACTTTGCCCTGTTGCTTTCTACTTGTTTCTGCCTTCTGTAACACGGACTCCTCACTGGCCTGCTTTGGTTTCCTTGTTAGTTTTTCTGTATGTCCCTTTAATCTTGCCATGTGATCACGTGTTATCATCACTATTTGCATCCTCTCCAGTGTCTGAACAATAGAAGGCATAGGTGTTGAGCACATGTTGAGTACAAATGTCTTGATCAATCACCCACAAATCTCTCTTGAAACCCTACTCGCTGGGGCATTTTCTTCTGCTGCTGTTTTGTGTTTGAAATGGCCATGCTATTTCTGAAGTCCCACCGTATCATGTCATTGGATGTTATCTCTAAGGGTTTTGTTAAGTAGGGAGAAGTTATGATACCCTTTCTCAAAAGTCCCTTAAAAAGATTTTAAACAGTACCATTGCTCATCATTAATGTCCTGAAGCCCAGAATCTAGATCTAGGACATAACCGGTTCTGTGCTATTTCTGTCCTCAGCGGGAACTTGAGAACAGTTATGATCACAGTAAAGTGCTCAACTCAATGCAAAATGATGTGTGTGGCTTAAAGCAAAACAAAACGAAGAAACAGGGAAAGCAGATCGGTGATTCTCATAAAATAACGATTAGGATTTTTTCCAATATTTTGAGCTAAGACCAAAGTTCTTTCATTTTCATTCTTAAATGTGCCTGAACTTGACCAAAGCTACAAAAAATAAGAGGAAGTGCACTTGTGGTTTACACAAAGCTTGTTTTTTTTTTTTTTTTTTTTTTTAAGGTCTGTTGACAACCTCCCCCCCCCCACTTTGTTCAGTGTGACAATAATTACCAAGCTTTCTACCTTTTTAATTTTATTGTCTTACCAAGCTGTTCTCCCAAATGCTGGCCTCTCTCGGTTGAGATGATCCGTTCGTCTTCCATGTCACATTTGTTTCCGACCAGGATAACCTGAGCATTATCCCAAGAGTATGTTTTGATCTGAGTTGACCTAAAAGAAAAATGAAAAGTACAAAAATGATCAGCATAAACTGAGGAAGAAGGCTTAGAGAGAGCAAGATCATGATACAATTAAAGCCTTGGCCCTTGACATTTAGAATTAATTATTTCAGTACAGTTGCACTCCTTGGATTCTTACAAAGAATTGATAGACTCATAACTCAAAGCTAGGTGTATAACTCAATGTCAGAGGAGACGAGGCTATATAATATGTGCCAGGTTTTGTGTTTGACCCAGCACAGGAAGAGACAGTCAAGGCAACAGGTGTTGCACCAATTGTGCCAAGGACTATTTGTCTCTGATGAGATCAGCACCACCACACCTTCTTCTCCCGGATCTCCATTGGCTTATGTAATAGCTGCAAGGCTAATCTGGCAAAAGAGCTTCCTAGTTTAGCGATGAAAGTCCTGTGTCCCTAGAACCTTCTCAGTTCCCGGCACATTGAGATAGTGGGTTCCTTTCTCAATTAGACAGCTGATCCAGTGACAAACCCATATAGAAGGGAAAATAAAAACATCAATTCCCTTGATCACACACACACACACACACACACACTCACACACACACAGCAAAGGCAACTGGGGCTTTGGAAATCAGAGGAAATTATAATTTTAAAACAGGAATCATAATACTATCGTACACACACCTTCTAGTTAAAAGAAGCATGTCACTTCACTATAAAATAACAATAGAGTTGGCTGGCATTTTCACTTGCTATGAATAGACTTCCAGAATTCAGATTAGGCCCCTAGTATATATAGATCATGGTACAAACAACAGATGGTTTTGAAACTGAGATAACAATTGTGGTAGTTTTCATGTTTGCAGTATGGTAAATCTAAGTCCTCTGCCTACATCCTATTCATTTAATTCATACACTAACTTAAGGAGGGACCGTTGCATTAGTTCACAGTGGAGGAAAATGACATACAGAGAGGTTAAATAATTTCTTAGTTCACACAACTAGTAAAATGGGAGTGCTGGGAAGTCCACCCAAGTGACATGTTTCTCAATCTTGGGGCCCCTAACACGTCTTCATTTCCTACTACTCATTGAAAGTTTGAGAAGTAAAGTTCCAGTGAGCTGTCATCCAGACCAGAAGTCTAGAGGAGAGGAAGCCGCGTCTTTAATTTTCTTCCTTTTTACTGTGTGAGAATAGCAGGATAGGATCTGTGGGAATATCTATTGCCAATATGTGGCCAAGGGTTGGGGGGTGGCGTGGGGGGAGCACTAGCTAAACAAATGATTAAACTCTGGAAGGATAGAGTTGAGGAGAGCCAGGAGCGCTCAGGTGGTTTTGCTGACATTGTTAAGCCCTTCCGGATTATTGACTAGAAGATAGAGAGGAGCTGTTCTCAGCTGAAGAAGGAGAGAAGGCAAAGAGCTGGCAGCTGCAGCCAGGGAGCTTGCCTTGAGCTGGGAGCCATGCCTCTCCCTCCTGGGAAGAAGGACAGAGGCAGATAAGGTTTTATGTCAGAATTCTTCCCGTCTGAGCCCAAGTTTTCAAGTGAGATTAATACAAGTTTGACTCCACCTGGACACCGCAGAAGCACAGTACAGTTTATCAGAAAAATCCTGGGGAGATGACCATTCTGATTCTGACAGGTTGAAAGTATGTCACCACAGTGACATTTGCATGTGCCCATTGTGGATCGAGTAAGAATGGCACCCATAGGCCCATGCACATATTTGAATACTTAGTCACCTGGGAGTGGTACTATCTGAAGATTAGAAGGATTAAAGAGTGTGGCCTTGCTGGACGAAGTGTGTCACTGGGGGTGTGTCACTGGGGGTGTGTCACTGGGGGTGTGTCACTGGGGGTGGGCTTAAGATTTCAAAAGCAGCCCAGCATATCTCTCTCTCTCTCTCTCTCTCTCTCTCTCTCTGACTTTCTGCCCGTGGACTAGATGCAGCTTTCAGCTACTGCTCCAGAGACATGTGTGTTTGCCATGATAATCATGGTCTAAACCTCTGAAACAGTCAGCAAGCTCCCTGCTTAAATGCTTTCTTTTATAAGTGTTGCATTGGTCATGGCGTCTCTTCACAGCAACAGAACCATGACTGAGACACACATATTCTGGGTAAATAAGGACATATGCTCTAAATTCTATGCTTTCCCCCTTTCACCATAATATGTACAGAAAACATGAAGATCGATAAACTCATCATGAACTAAAGCTTTAAAATCCCTCACACCTGAGTGTACTAATGTTATTGTCCAGGTGAGAAAGTTAAGAGACCACTGCTCATACAGGGCCAAATAAGAGCCCTTTCTTTACCCTGGTGGCCAAGAGCAGGTCCTGCCACAAAGATCTCTTGACAATGAAGCTCAGGGATACGATGTTTATAAAGGAAAGTACCATTAAAAAATGTGTTGCCAAGGCAGATGGGGCTCTTCAGGGTGTTACGGGATGAAAGGTACCCTAACAGGGATGAGAGGAAGATCTGGACAAGATGTCATTACCTCAGTCACTTCACTAATATATTTTTGCCAAGAAAGTTCACATTTTTCATTCAGAGGACCTAACATCTGACCAATTTTCCTTTAAAAGATTTATCTCTGTATTCATGTCTTGTAAACCAAGTGTGAGCCAATGCGTGGAAAGGTTCTAGCTTGAATCTTCCCCTTAATGGGCATGCTTCAACCCTGGTAGTGTAGTTAGAAGTCAGGCACTGAAGGGGGGTTAGGTATTTGGGGCGCATAGGAGCATGTCACAGTTGTGTGGGAGGGGAAGGAGTCGTTGCTAGGATGGTCAACGATGTGGATTGAGTTTGTTGAGACTCAGTGTCTACTTAAAGAGCTAGAGCAGTCCCCTGCCCTCAGCAAACTTACCCCACAATGTGAACTGAGTGCACTGAGTGTCACTCCTGTGTCTTGGACACCCGGTGCTACAGTATGAACTGTGTGAACTCAGCTGAGACCGAGACCTAGACTAGGTCATGAAGGCACTGAATTCAGTACTCACTGCTGTTCTTTAACGAGCGTTCAGACTGCTCATTTCTGTAGTGAAACACATGTGGGCACCCTCCTGCTGCTGTGTCTTCTGCAGAATCATGGGCTGCTACTTTAGATCACTCATGTGTATACACTCAGACATTTCTTATTTTGTAGCAATGCATAGAAACATGCTAAAACAAGAATGCGTTTTCCTCTGGCTATCAGCACTCTCCTCCATCCTGACTGTTGTTTTGAAATAAATATTTGAATTTTTGTGTGCTCCACAGTACCAAAAAAGTAATGTGAAATGAGTATTGTCTATAATTAGAAAGGATAATTAGCTTTGACAACGTAAGGATTTAAAACTTAAAAGCCTATGGGTGCTTTAAAATGAAATGAAGACTGTAATTTGTGGCAATGGCACCAACGGAGAGCAAAACTTTGATAATCCCTCAGAATCGGTAGAGTTTATGGCTGCTACCAAGATTGTGAATGTGCCATGTTTGCTTTAGGCTTTGGTTACTCTGGCTTCTTATCACCAGTGTGTGTATGTGCCGGGGGGTTGGGGGGGAGCTTTGGTGGATGCAAGAGTGATTAGAACAACATCTGCTTCTTAAATCCCACCAAAGTCGTCCATTTTAGTTCATATAATTGAAATGATAATTGGAGATTTTCATTAAAGAACCTTAAATTTCATTTTTTAGTTCCTATTTGCAAGCAGAGGTCCTACACAAGTAGTGTTTCTTGGAGGTACTTCTGAGGTCAGAACTGAGGGACATGCACGCACTAAGCATACACGCTACCATTGAGCCACACCCCAGCCTCAACAGAAATTCATTTTGGGAGTAAATAATCTTCCTGTAGCACGTTTGCTAGGGCATTGCATTCAAAGTTTTTGTTGAATACATTTTCATTTTGTGTGTGTGTGTGTGTGTGTGTGTGTGTGTGTGTGTGTGTGTGTGTGTGGTATTTATATATACATTTGTGACTTGGTTATTTGCCGCTGCATTTTATAAAATTTCTTATTTGTGGAACGAATTTCTCATCATCTAATTAGAAGAACTGTGCAGTTCCTTTGTTGGGAAGATGCGCGTTTAAAGAGAGTAGCTGTCACTGGATAATATACACGTGAAAAGATGATTTATTTCTGAATCACTGCAGAAGTTCCCTGGGGATTTACTGTTAATCCCAACAAGATTAATGGAATCAGAAACCATATGCTAGTCTCCATGGTTACTCTTTCAATTTCAGTTAACTCAGACCTCACCGGCACCGGATGAATCACTATTTAGTTGTCACCGTTTAGTCAAAATGAAACAAAAGCACTTCAGACCTTCCTTCAACGCTTATATGTTAGGACATATTTTCTTCCTTTCAGGTCTTACCAAAGATGAAAAAAGAGCTTCTAGGAAGCCAGCAAGGTATAGGAAGGGCAAAGAATCTTGGATGTTTTATAACATTTTACACACAAGTAAACTCTGCATGGAATAAAAGAATTTACATAAGAAGAGCTGTAAACCAGCCAAGTCCATACAGTATTTATTCTTCTATCCCGTTCTGTGTCAGTCAGTGATTTCCCATGAACCCAGCCTCTTCTCATAAACACAACAGGCTCCTGCTAGTCAAGCTGTTTTGAACAATAGTCTGCAATAGGCATCTCCGTGACGAAAAGCAATTGTTTCGTAGGTCCAATTTGAGCTGTACGTTGGAAAGAGAAGGGAACAAAGAGAATATAACTGTGCTATCCCTCCTTAAGTAGGACTCAGCAGATCTGTCTAGCACCCCTTGCTCTACCTGAAGAGATTTTTTTTTGTGGGGATTTACTTATTTTGGCATACAAAACCATCTCATTAAATAATAATAAGTGATATCAGTATTAGAAGGCAACAATTCAATACTTTAATTTTTCTTTGAAATATTCTCTAAAAATGTGTTCCTAAAACCATTTATTCACATTCATTGCATACATCAACAATATTCCATTATGTCCGTGTATCTGTTTCCTTACTAAGACTCTCTCAATGGTAGTCTGTTTATTTGTGTGCTCATCTATG